TACTCCCCACCCACTTGTTTATTTGATTAGGGTGAGGTTGTAGTGTAAACCCCAGGTGGGGCCCGACACGGGTGGATGGATGGATGTTGTATGTATGTATAGGCGAAGACATGTCACGTGGCACGGGGGTGGCCGCTGCCCACATGCGCTGCCTTTTTCGTTTCTAGCTTTTTTCATGTTTTTTAAAAGCTTTCCCGACTCTTGCTGATGTATCAAATACGCTCTTTGGGGAAGGCATTGTGTAAGAAAAATTTTACAAAAAACAAAATTACATACCCAAGGGTCGTGTGGTCACTCGAGCGGCAGCCTCTTCTTCCTTTTGACCCTAGGTTGGACTTGGGTAGCCCTGGTTTTGCAGCTGACCCCAGCCACCCAAGGGTTGCCAATTTTTTTTGAAGCATTTGGGGACAATATTTTTTTTTTTTCAAAATTGGGGCATACGGTAGAGAACGTTGTTTGGACGTTTATGGGTTTAAAACATGCGATTATAATTTTTTAAATTTTTGGAATGGGGACAGATCCAATTCCTTAGATCAAGGCCCATCACCCCTACAGCAAAAAAATAGTAAATTTTAATAACACTGTATAGTGTCTAATATGTAATAAATAACAAATAGGAGAAACTTGAAAAGGCTGCCAGTAGTTGGCGCCACCATCAGCAAAACATTGGTAACCACTACTAGTAAACTTCTTGTCTAGACTTAAGTAGTGGCTCTTTACTCCAGTCATATATGTAAATGCACATTGTAACCTTTGCAAAGAAACAAATATTTTTATTTAAGGAACCTCCCTTGAGGGGGAGGTTTGTATCCAGAAGCAAAAGAAATCGACCAAAAGACGGTTCGTATTCTAAAAAATTTGCATGATGGGGGAGTTTGTAAACTGAGGTTCCACTGTATTAAATTGCATCTGCCACTTCTCCGACCACTGCATCAGTCTATTCAAATCTTCCTGGAGTGCTCCCATGTCCTCATCAGAATGAATTTGAAGGCCAATTTTGGTGTTGTCGGCAAAGTTGCTTATGTCACTATTTATTCCCTTGTCTGTCGTGTAGATGGTGAAGGGACCCAAGACTGACCCCTGTCGAATAGTTTGACACTTCCCCACTGATTTCTGAAACCCATTTATGCAAAAAACTGCTGCCTGTCAACCGTGCCTCTTATTAAGGAAAAAAATTTCGCCAATTCTGTGCCTTAATTTTCCTCGATAGCCTCTGATGTGGAACTATCAAAGGCCTTACTGAAGTCCATATATGTATCGCATTCATTATCATGATCTACCTCGAATACCTTAGTGAAATAAGGTAATAAATTCATAAGGCAGGAACACCCTTTTGTAAAACTGCTGAGATTCCTTGATCAATTGTTTCTTTTCAAGATGGCTATGGATTGCCTCTGCAATTGATTCCATAAATTTTCCCACTATGGAGGTTAGGCTTACTGGTCTACAGTTCAAAGCAAAGGACATGTCACCCGATTTAAAAATATGTATCACATTTGCCATTTTCCACTTATCAGCACTATGCCAGTTTGTAGTGATATTTTGAAAACATTAGCCAAAGGTTTGCTAAGCTCCTCTTTGCATTCTTTTAGAACCCTTGCATACAGTTCATCAGGGCTCTGTGATTTGTTAGGTTTTAATTTATCTATTTGTCTAAGGACCATGTCACTTGTGACCCTAACCAATAGACAATACCTCCATAGTAGGGAAATTTATGGAATCAATTGCCAAGGCAATTCGTAGCCCTCTTGTGTGGCAGTGATTTATGAATCTCTGCCGTTTTACAAAGGGGAGTTCCTGCCTTACGAATTTACCTTTTTGTCACTAAGGTATTTGAGGAGGTAGATCATGGTAATGAATATATTGTGTATATGGACTTCAGTAAGGCTTTGATAGTTCCACATTAGAGGAGAGGCATGGCTGACATAGCAGTTTGCGTAAATGGGAAATAATCAGTGGAGGCACATCACAAGTGGTGTTCCACAGGGGTCGGTGTTGGGACCCTTTGTTCAGTTTACATAAACAACATGGATGAGGGAATACATACCAACATTAGCAAGTTTCCTGATGACACCAAAATAGGCTGCTTAATTCATTCTCATGGAGACATTAGAGCACTCCAGGAAAACTTGAATAGGATGATAGTGGTCAGAGAAGTGGTAGATGCAGTTTAATATAGACAAATGCAAAGTTCTAAACATTGGACAGGAAAATAACCATGCCACAAACTAAATGTGGATCTTAATATTACTGACTGGGGGGGGGGGGGAAGGTTTGAGAGTTCTGGTTAGCAGTAATTTAAAACGGACAACAGTGCGTAAATGATTGCAATAATACAAACAAAAATCATTGGTTCATATCAAGTCCTCAAGTTGTTTAACTAGTTTAGATTATGCTGCACCATTCTAATTACCGTATTACAGAATGGATATAAATGCACCGGAAAACGTAGAAAGTATGACAGTTGATCCCATGTACAGGTCCACATCCCTTTATCCAAAGCCCTTGGGGCTGCTATTTTGAATTTCAGGATTTTTGAAAGTTCAGAATGATTCTCAATGCTGCCATATGGCAGTGTGACCCAGCACCATACTCCACAAAGAAACTTTGGTTTTCAAAACTTTTTGAATTTCAGAATTTCTGATAGACTTGGCATAGAATTAGGGGGGTTTATGATTAAGGTGTATAAGCGGGAAAACAGGAATAAAGGGAATGTAAAAAATGTGCTAAAAATATATAGCGAAGACAGGACTCGCAGCAGTGGTTCAAAGCTGGAAAAATTTAGATTCAGGAAGGATATAGGAAAGTGCTGGTTTGATGATAGATGTGGATGAGTGGAACAAGCTCTTGAGTACAGTCATTAAAGCTAAAAAGTTGTTTTCAAAAAATTTTT